CTTCTTCTTCTTCTTTGGAACCTCAACCTCTGCTTCTCCCTCCTCCTCCTTCTTCTTCTTTCCCTTGCCACCTGATTTGCCAACCTTCTCACCCTTCGGTCCTTTCCTCTTAGCCTTTATCTCTTCTTCTTCCTCCTCCTCTTCCTCTTCCTCCTCACAATCCTCCTCCTCCTCCAAATCCTCCTCTACTTCCTTTTTTCTTCTTCTTGTCTGACCCTCCCTTCCCTGGGGTTGACTGATCAGCCAAAGCTAGCATGCCGCAACCATTCTCCCTCCATGCAACAGTCTTGTTGCTTTTCACGCTGCTTGACTTCCTCAAGATTGGTTTGATTTGCTTTTCCAACTCGTTCTCAAGCTCAACGACCACAGCATCGGGTGGGGTTGGTGGAGATTTCCTGGTATGACGGGTCGAGGGCGGTGTCACGTCAGGCCTTCCCTTTCCCTTCCCTCGTGCTTTGGCCTCCATAACCCACACCATAGCCTGAGCCTTTCCTTTCCCTTTGGCCTTTGCCTTTTCAAGCATGGCCCCTCAGAGGTGATGATCACTACACAAAAGTTCAGCATTGCATCACTGCAAAGCAAACAAAGCTTTCCAAGGCACTAAAGTTCACCCTGGATTGAGGTTCCTAAGATCAAGACTGGCTTCAAGTGTGAATGTTGTAAATCAAACTCCGCAGCTTACACAATATATGCAATTGGGGCTCCACCATTTGGGTATGAGCGGCAATCAGTGAAAATTTGAGCGCCAAACGGCTCCAAATCAAGCGCACTGGTACGACACGCTATGACACGCCCACCCTATGTCCTATGTGTCCCTTGACACGGTATGACACGCCATGACACGGCACTCCGAAGAAGCGTGTGTATGCAAATCTTGCGGTTTTCTTCAAGATCACCCCGTGTCATAACGCAGTGAAGCCATCATCATGCCATGTCATACCGTGATCATGCCGTGTCATACCGTGTCATGCCGTGTCATAGCGTGTCATCCATGTCGAATGCTGCGTAGATGCAGATAAACCACACGCCACCATCCATGTCAAAAGGGATCTAGATTTAAAGCACCGGGCTCTGTCGGGTCCCAGCCAGCCTTTTGGCTTCCTTGACTTGAGGTGGTGGAGGTCCATCGCTGTCATCGCTCATGACCTCCGCGCTACTTGGCGAATCATTGGCTGGCCACCGGGTTGATGGAGCAAGCTGAATGGGTTCCTGCAGTCCTGGACTGATCTTAGACCCTTAAGGCACAAGATGGCACAAGTTCCTGATGTAGCTAGCAGGCATTTCCAGGGTTTGATGTGCGACTGGCTTCCTACGATCTTATGGTTTTAGTGGGCTCTCATGGTACAGGCAAATCCTTTTCAATGGAACGGCCGGTCGACTCTCTGCCAGAAGGGTTCTAAGCAAATTGCACTCCCCTCTTTTAAAAGGAAAGAGAAACACTTCGTATCCCCAGGAGCAGTTCTCTTAAGGCAACTTTGGACTTTCTAAAGTTGCACCCAAGTACAAACAAAAGTTGTGAGGCCCCCAAACCCAAAAAGCTGAGGGCTGAAATACCAAGAGGTGTTCAAAACAAGGGGCGCTTTCATTTAGCGTATGTCCACTGCTCGATGGGATTTTGGGAGGGGTGCCTCACCACATCTTCCAAATCAGAGTCAGAAGAGCATGGATCCACATCCATGAACTCTAACCCAGTGTCAGGCTTCACAATCGCAGGATAGATCAGATTGTGCTCGTGCATGTACTTGAACTGCAGGCCAGCAACCTTGAAGTATTGAACCCTTAACAGTTACGACGACGGTGGGCAATTTGGTGGTGTCAGCTTTCAACTGGACCAAGTAGCACGGAGACAGAAATTCATCGGGTACACTTGAGAGCCCTTAAGAGCGCGAGTACCAACCTTATAGGCAAACACCCGTTGCAGAGTGCAGAACACATCAGCCACAAAGATTTGACGGGATGTCTCATCAAGATGGGAGGGTTTCCACAAGAATAAGGCTGCCGCAACCCGAGCCCGCCCAGACTTGTCTTTGTACTTCCGAACGAGGCGGAGGCTTTTCAAAGCTTGCAGCTTGTGAAGCTCTTCCCTGTCAACAAATAGAAAGCCAGAGTCACGTACAACTTACCCACCAAGCCTTCTCTCTGGGGTCATGTAGGCCCCGCCAAGATTACCCAACCATTTTGCAGTCGAGATCAGAACTGTGCGCTTCCTCAGCGATCACACAGCTGGAAGCAAACATGGCCGGGGACATTGACTTTGGTGAGCAGCTTGCCTTGAAACGCGGTTTTTTGAAGGTGTCCGGGGATGGTGTTTTAAAAGCTTAGAAACAACAGTTTCCGGACACCTACGCTGGCTGGGCCCTCTGACTTTGGTAAAGCCTCTAGTGGAACAGTCCAAAGATATTGTTTTGAAAATCTCTTCCGGACATCCAGTACCAAGTCCAGAAAAAGCCAAGGTTCTCAGTGCAGGCCCCATGCATCCCCATAGGGATGTAGTAATACATAGCTCTATGTCGCTTGAGCAACTCCTGCCACAGCACCCCTACAGAACAGTTTAGACTATGTCTCCTAGAAGAAGAGCCATGACACAACATACGAGAGGTTGAAGAACACAGTTTGAAGGCTCTCTCTCTCTCTTTCTCTCTCTCTCTCTCTCTCTTTCTCTCTCTCCCTCTCTTTCTCTCTCTCTCTCTCTCTCGCCCTCTCTCTCCTGAAGCGGCTTGTAGAGTGGCAACAATGAATTTGCAGGCTGTTCGATCACATAGGCGATGTTTTTCCGGAAAAGGTACTCTAGCCTCAACAGACGGTTTGGCCACGGAGTCATGGATGGACAGGTAAAGACAGAGCCATCTCAGAACATGGGACTACTTCTGGAAGTGCACCTGCAAGACTTTGAGAAAGAGTGTTTAAATCCAGACCAGTAACACAAAGCACAACCTTCGCACCAGCCGGTTCTGTTTCCGAACATCCTTAAATTTATGTTTTGCTCCATAGGGCCGAAGTCTAGATCGCATCGTGGATCCTCTTGACATCCATATCCAGCTGCAGCAAGGCACTCCAAACCAAACAGTCCCACCACTGCAAACTCTCCTTGCACACTGAAAAAGTGTTAGGAAGCCACAAGCCGACAGCAAGTCCGTGTGGCGGGAATAGGTGGCCTTGGACACCAAGGAAAACTTTTAATATCGATTTTTCTTTAGAACCTGTCTTGTACATCAAGACCACTGGGTTAAAAGTAGCTGAGCTGCATCGATGGCATGTGCATCCATACCATAATCCAAGAAAGCATCGGTAAGATGATGGGAGCCTCCAAGGCCAACCCCACACCCCGAGAGTCTATATACTTGTTTTTGGTGCGTATGCACCAGACGCCGGACGCTCATGCCCAAGCCTGCACACACCTCCAGGAAGTGCAAGCGCTCATCTTCGACCACATTCCCGAAACCTTGCAGTCATGGACAGCAAATCCCAGGGATCAGCCTTGCTCCTTGGATTGTCCTAGATATTCCAATTTGGTTCCACCACTTTTGTTGCCTTTCAAAAGGACGGGTCAAGCTTTTGGGGTTCTCCAAATTCTCCTGTTCCCCAAGATCAGCCCCAAACCCAATCAGCCCATCAGTCAAGTAGCAAAGAATCAAGCTTGCCAAAATCGCTGCAATCTTGCTATATTTCATTGCCAGGAGGTGAACACAAATACAGCCTGACCCTTTAGCCACACTTGAAGGCGAACAAGACAGTCACTCATGAGACGCATGAACCATGATCGCAAGTACAGTGGCAGCCATGCGATGTTCAACAAGACTTTCTCTCATGCCCGACCCCATGTCCAATTTCAATAGGGTTGATACCCCTATAGCTAGTGGGAACAGAACTCCAGCCACAGTGTTAGCACTGCAGCTTGAAAGGGACAGCGTCAAAGAACACTGTCCGTGTTGCTTTGCAACAGCAGTCAGAGCATGCACCACTCATGGTACATGTTCGGACCACCCACCCAAAAGTGTCCTAGTAGCTGGGCCCCAAACAATTCACACATGGCACCTTCTAGATATTACAACGCTCCAGAAACTACTAAACAGGCACCAGCCACCAACGGACACACTTCGAAAAGGTTGGCATGTTGTCACGCCTTCGGCAGTTCAATACCCGGAAGTTGGCACCCAACATACATACACATAAACATATAGAACTATATATATATATATGCATCGGTTTGTTTCAGGGGATCCACATGATAATCCTTGTTTGGTTTTGACCATCCTCACATGCGCCAAAAAGGCCAACTCCACTTTAGAGCTCTAGCAATCGCACACAAGACTTTACGTATATCGGCGGCGCTTGCACTCTGCCGCGCTGAGGTTTCCGATGATGCCTTCCCGTACACTGCTGCCCTTCCAAGCTTCCTCCACGGCTGCCCGTCCGGCATCGGGATGGTCCAGTTTGAAACTTGATTGGATGCCGGGGCAAGTCAGGACAGAGGTTTGCAAAGGCCAAAAGGGCAGTCACCTCCCCTGTATAGAAACCAACTATTACACATTCTGCGACAACGTTCACCACAAGAAAAATTCTGAAGTTGCCCAACAAAAGGCTTTGCAGTAAAGTCCTTCTTGGCCTTCCCATAGTCAGTAGGATTGTGAGTTTTCTTCGGGGGATCGGAATGGGAAACCTTCTGTTTAGAAGGCTTGGTCTTAGGGACAGCTGGCTCCTGCTTTTTGGATTTGGGGCTGGTCTTAGCTGCAGGCTTCTTTTGGATTTTAGAGCCCTTCTCTGACTTGGCCGGCTTGGCAATCTTGCCACCAGAAGATTGCGCCGCTTCCTTAGGTACAACATTGCTTCATTTGTACTTGTCTGAAAAACAACACCTTCCCAACCCACAGTGTCACAAGTCAAGCTTCAGCTCGCTTGACAGCAGCAAGCTGGATCTTAGCATACGGGGTTACCACATTTTCCCTGGGAGGTCTTGGCGGTGGAGTCACGATCACCTCCTCCTCCTCCGCGAGATTGGAAACCTTCCAGGACAGATCAACCAAAAATGAAGACACCCCCAAATTGTTTTAAAGTTTGAACTGAAGTCAGGCAATCGCCTGCCGGACAGTCGACGCCCAGTTCTCAATAGGTGCTTCCATGGATGTTGCTGGAGCTTCCTCCTGAAGAAGAGGAAAACGCTAGCCATGCCAACTTGTCGAATATACAGTATACATTTCAAGCCACCCCACAAAAAAAGATTAGAACTGTTTGCTTACTGGGCAGCCTCATCGTCGGCTTCTTCCTGCGAAAAAGGTTGGGGATGTTGACATGACAACTGGAACAAACCAGCTTGATAACTAGGCCTGACTAAGTACCAAAGTTTTCGCCCTCAACAAATCATCATACTCCTGGGGCTGCCGGTGCCAGCGCGAAACATCTACCAACAAACCATCCCTCCCACATGTTTTCTGAAAAGGCAGGGTTGGTTTGCCACGCCAATTCGGTTCTAGGCTTTCCAAGTTCAACAAGTTCAACAAGATCACTGTCCTCCTTGGAAAGGCCAAGGCTTGCTGCTGCTGATGCGTCGGCTCCTGGACAAGCCGCTGGATCACTGAAGCAGTGGGTGGTTGTGCGGATGGTACTAGGCCTTCGCATCATGATGTTATAATCACAAAAAATTAGTGCGCAATAAGCAACCAGCATCATTTACTCAACCATGTTCATTTAATTCAGAGTGCAACACTTATCGTCGGCCCCCATGACCAGTGCCTGTCTCGGGCCAATCTTCCCAATAATCCAGAGCATCACCACCTGCCGCACAGGGCATGACCAGCTTCATTAAATACCACTATGTATCTAACTAAGAGTGCAACACTTCAAAGTACGGCAGCCTCCATGACCAGTGTTTGTCTCGACCCAATATTCCCATTGATCTGCCGGAGCCTCACCTGCCACATATGGGGCCCAGGGATACTCTTTGGAATTTGCACGCACCGCTGGTTTGGGGAAGTGGTTTTGTCGCCTGGGAGGTAAGCAGAACAAGGCCGGCCCTCAGCCACATCCATTGCCCATTTCCAGGACTCAGAGTCATCAATACCTGATGTCAAGACTTAGCATCTTAGAGCCCATCCAAAGTTCCAATTTCAAGCCACCATCAAAAGCCGGAACCAAGAAACCTTGCCAGGCCCAATCCCCCTCGTCTCGCCACATGGACTTGTCCTTCTCAGACCACTGAACCACATGGTTTTCAGAGAGCTCATCCTTCTCAGACCCCTCGTAAGCGTCAGGGAGCTCATGATCGAATGGCCAACCATTACCATCGTATCCTGACATGAAAGCCCTGGCAGGTACTCCCGGAGTTCTGGTAAAAAGAAAAACACATGTCTTCACAGATGTCAGTACTGATGAGATCAAGGTGTATACACCACAGACAAGTAACCTCCAGTTGCAAAAAGGCGCCAAAGTTCGTCCTCCATAGAGGGATCCCAGTCCTCGCTGTCATACCAGCCCTTGGCCCAGTCACCATATGACAGCTCAGGATCCACCTGCAAGCGTTGAAAGCGGAGATGTGTCTTGGAAAGCAGGGGCCGTGGAAGGGCAAAATCTCTGTCAGGAGTTTGCAGGGTACATGTGCAGTTACTTGTGGGAACAATGTCTTTGCCAATTTGTTTGATGGAGACCGCATCCTTTCACAAGCCTAAGCGTTAAACAAAATCTCAATTGCAATGAACATGGTGTATAGGGCCCTTGCCTCCTCAGGGATCGAAGGGAGCTCCTCAGCAGGCACCTGAAAGGATCAAACGCACTGTATGTATACCTGTCTTGTTGAAGAGGGGTAGCTATACTTCCCAAACACAGTTGGAACCACAGTTTGAAAACACTGTAAAGAGAAACATACCTCAAGCTCCATGCAACAACTTTGGGGCCAAGCCTTCTTACGACGCGGGACTGGAGGAGGCTTCATGTCAAGCACCTCCAGGAAAAGAAACAAAGGTGTTTGAACGGATCGGTCAAATCAAAGTGCAAAGACAAAGAACCTCTTTCTCCATTCTGCTCTCTTGAGCTGGTTCTGCAAGGTCATGCCCATATAGATCCGATGCCTCCTGAACGTTGCTTGGAGAACAGGTTTGGGATATATAATATGCAGGAGCAAAAACTTGCAATATTTCAGAACTTTGCAGCATCCCTTGAAGCCAAGCTCCTCAATGGGTTGTGTGTCACACGTGTCCATCACCGACATGGCCGCTGGCACTGGGGGTTTCAAAATCTGCCTTTTGCGCGCGATCTTGAGAAGACGGTGCATGCGGTCGGATTCGGAATTGTCCGTGGGATCAGATGCCTCAAGGTCAAACTCAGCCCTCAGATCTCGGCAAACTTGTCTAGACAGCTTCTTTGTCAAGATCCTTCCCTTGCCAACGAATTTGCGGATCCACCCACCGAAGATGGCCTTGACACATTGACGTTTCAGCGAGCCCTGTGGGAGTACCCGGTTTGTAGTTTGCATCCTGGTTCGGTTCTCCTCAGTGTCAAGAACCTTGGATACCTTTCTCACGATTAACTTGGCATACCTGCGTCGCTGATCCCTTTGTTGCAGGGAACGGGCAACCATGGCGTTCCAGGTGATCTCTATACAGGTGTTCTATATAGTGATTCGATGTGCTGTTTACACTCTGTCAATTTCCATGCACGATCGACACACATCCTGTCTTTATAAAGGGGTCTATATGCATGTTTGCTTGAGCTAGAAACTGAGGAGTTTATATGAGTTTATCTTCTGAAGTGCAATAGTGCACAGGTGGTCACACACCTGGATCCAGCCCTGCCATCCCGCCTGAGGACACGGCAAACCCGGCCGCGCCGAGTGAAACAAGAAGCTAGCGGCAGTCTTGGTTGTGGGACATCCAGGTTTGCTCTTGGGGAGCGTGGACCCAAAAAAATGGGGTGCACACATGGAGATCCATGTGTGGGTATATAGTCCCATTAACTGGAGGATGGGTGCATCCAAGATATTGATTGAAGCTCGTTTAGAATTATGAAGACACATCATTCAATCAGGATCCCTTTAGGATCTCGACTCGATCCTGGCCATGGACATGGCGAGC